ATAGAATCTGAAAGTTTAATGGACTATTAAAGGAACTGTTTCGTGCTCAAATAAAAACAGATTACATGCGCTCATCCGAAATCATAATGTATTTATACAATTTATCATAAGTGGATTTTACTATAACACTCCAATAAAGCTACATTAATTGTTAGCTGTAATAACGGCGATGATGTGTTTCCACCATGTAGGTAGGTTCATTAGCCAATAACGGGAGAATGTTAGGAGCTAACGATCCATCATAACAAACCAGGCGCCTTGCGCTCGATTCTAATGATAAACAACACACTGCGAAATATACACAACGACGTCACAATAACGTTAATGACCGACTATAAATGTCTGCCTTTGATGTCAAAAGTTCTCTGCATGTCTTCAGTGTAATCATCGGAAAACCCTTTTTTTTTTATCTGCCAAAAATGTTTATGCAAAGTACGACAGCTGGATTTTGAATGAATTGTCAGTTTTACAAAATATACAATGTGTCATCTGTTGTATATATATATATAGTGTTTATGAAAACTAGGACAATAATTTATTTATGAAAGAACTGACAGTTGTCAAAAGCAAAGTTTTAAATACAAGACATAATTTTTGTTTGAGAGACTTCATTTAAGAGGCTCTTCTGCATTGATTTCAATATTTTCTCTTTTTTTCCCATTATTGTGCATGATGTCCACAGGAAGTTGCGTTGGGAGTGAGAAGGCCACTAGCTGTTATGACGAGAGTTGGAGTGTGGGGCGATCGTGGAGCAAATACTTTGATGGCAGAAAGGAGGAGGACGCCAAATTAAATACATAGCGAGCATATTAATTACAAGATGTAATTTACCACACTTTTCTTTTGAAAAAAGGACAGCAAAAAAGATCTGCAGTGACAGTTTCTATCCCCGTGTATAAACTGATGTCCCTCGGGACTGGCTCCATGGGCCTGTGTGTTTACAATGATGTCCCGCAGGGCGAGCTCAACGGCACACCAAGTTGTTGTCAGGCTAATCAGCACTAATTGACCTTTCATCATTCTGACACCTTTATCCCCCCATAGCCTCCCGAATCTGCCTCCTGGATCAGGGGGCCAAATGGGCATCCCCAAACACCCTACTCGCTATCGATAATCACCCCAACAATTTGTCATCCTGCCCATATTTGGTCTTGTCAATGCCGTCAAATGCCCCCCATTTTCCACGAAGATAGATATGTTTTTAATTTCGTGCCATCCATCTGGCTTGTTGACAAGCGTACTAGTGGAACTTGAGAGCAATGTCAGAGAGATTTTATAAATCCAGCAGTCTTTCAATAACTGCAATCGAATCATCACAGCTGTACTTAAAACTCGGAGGAATCGAAAATGATGTATATCTCCATCAACTACTAATGGGGCGTGTTTTCTCAATGAAGAGTATCTTAATCACCGAAACTTGAAACCTAGAATCTGATGAAAACAAATCGGTCTTCGAATTCAAGGTCAAGTTTTGAAGACATTGTTTTTTGCAAAAGACATTATGATTTGTCAGTATTTGTCAAATGTAATATATGATTGGCCCGGATCTTGACCATACCTATTATAATATTCAAAATCATTTGGCAAAATATTGTAAGATAAGTCAAATTAATAGCAAGCATACTACAACAATTGGTTAATATTTTAGCAGAGGTTTCATCAAACTTGCCAGCTCTCCCTATTTCGGAGGGAGACTCTCGATTTGGGACCCTAAAATTGAGCATTTTCAACAATTAAATTGGATAAACTTTTCCTTTTTTCTGAGATAAGATGATTTTATCTGAAAGCACAACTTAAAAGATGCCATTTAAAAGGGATCTTTTTCCCCTGCAGTATATATATATACAAATGTTTTATTGATGTCTTTTCATCTAAGCATGTGTATTGATCTTCCCCATTGAAATTTCAAAAAGCTGACAGGTATGTTTTATGTTTGGTCAGACGTTTGTATAACATGACAAGACCGCACAGTAACATATTGGCACTATATATATAACTAGTCAATTTGTAGGACTAAATTGAGAAAAGTTACAATTACAAGTACTAAACACAAGTAAAGCATAAAACAGAAATGATCGACTGATCATTAAATTGTGAAAGAATTAAGACATGGTAAATTCTATCATGATATGCAGTCTTGTGGTTGTGTTTTGAAAACAATGTTTCCATTTTCTAACAGAAATTAACAGTATCTTACTAAACAATTAATATTTTCAGAATTTGTATCACCAGTTCCTGTGGTCTTGGTATGCAGCAGACACCTACAAAGGGAGATTACTCTAATCTAACACGTCAACAGCTGGTGCATGGTGCTTCCCTTGGGTAATTTTGCCAAATAGATAATACAGCTAGAATACATGGATCCATTTTCACTGTTGACCCAGAAGAACTAAAGGTACACGTTATCAGCCAATTTATCACCAGATGTGTATTTATGATCGTAAAATCCACTGTTACAATCAGATGCACCAGAAAGAACATGAATGCTATTCTGGTTTCAATTCGCCTCCTCCCCCGGGACTTATATAACACACAGTCGAGAGTGAAAGGGAAGAAATTATATACAGGTCTGTAGCCCTTTCGTCATTGTTTTAGAACACGATATACCGATAACATTTTATTGGCTATTGTAATACAGGTAATGGTATCGGGTTGCTACACGACTATGGTACCTGGACAAAAATGTCAGGGTTTTTACGTGATACGATTAGAAGTGTCGAGCTGCTGAGGGAATCATCTGTATATGAGGGTGCCATGTCGTATTGCTAAATGGAGAATCCTTTACTGCAGGTTCAGGTTATCACGTTACATGCGATACAGGTAATGGTATCGGGTTGCTACATGACTATGGTACCTGGACAAAAATGTCAGGTTTTTTACGCGATACGATTAGTAGTGTCGAGCTGCTGAGGGAATCATCTGTATATGAGGGTGCCATGTCGTGTTGCCACATGGAGCATCGTTTACTGCAGTGTCAGGTTGTCACGTTACATGCGATACATGCAATGGTGTCAGATTTCTGATTAAAGGTTTATCCATGGCAACCACAGAAATGCATTAGCTGATTTACTATTTGATAAAAAAATAAAGTTCGTAAATAAAAGAAAATGTATATCGATTTCAAAATGTTGGCCTACTTTTAAACTTAGCCCTACAGTTCAGAAAATACAATTTACAACACAGATGTTTCAGTGTAATGGTATGTAATATATCAGTATTCGTAATTCTGTAATTTATAAACCAACCACCCTCTTTGTCTTATGAATTTGTCACTCATTAACGTTGGGAATTAGAATTGCATCCACAAAACAATATGATTTCAAACTTCAATCAACAGTTTGGCTACAATTTCAATGATTCACAATCAGACACCCCCAGGTTTTTTTCGTCGGTTTAATTGAGCTGCACTGGCTTTAAAAGAAAATGCACAATTAATTGTATTTTTTCCCCTCAAATTTCTGATAAATGCACAGTCTAATGAGACCACGGATCAAATATCAATACTGTTGAAGGCCTCAGACTTGGAGAGTCTTCCGTTTTGACATTTGTAAATCCTTTAAAAAAAATCCATTTTAAGCCTTATTGGAAGTTACAGGAAAGAGTCTTACTAGATACAAACACCATCGTGATACAGATCAGGCCCATAACTCTCTGTCGACGTTAGACATGAGCAGACACTGCTTAGACAATTAACGCTTTAGACTATAATCCCACAGCATCGACGAGAGCAAGCATAAACACAATTCCACAAAATCCCGCGATTCCGTCATAAGATTGGGCAACAAAATCGGCTTTCAGCATCCTCTCAAAGACAGCCGCCTCCAGCTTAAAGCATCATGATTGATTACTGTACCAGGCTGCTATTAAAAACTTTTCTGTTGCATTTTTGTTTTTTAAACTTTGTATGTGCAGACGAAAAAAACAACAACATTGACACAATGTCTATATGATCCAATTTATGTACAAGTGATTTACCTGTTGCTATACAGACACATTGATTGGAAACTCTTGGTTATAACAATCAACGCCATATTTATTTTCCTCTGAAAAGGAATTGTCTCCCCTGGCAAGTAACTGTCTCATGAACATCACATTCTATCAAGAATATATCATACAGCATAGTTGTTTCTCCTGGGCTTCACCTTATGCCTATTTTTAGTGTATCATAACTTCCTAATGCACCAATATCCGATTCCATGGCCTTCGGCCTAAATATTATGTAATCTGTCCAAGTTTAGCTCTTAATATCCTGTGAAAACCAGGTCCATCTGAATACGTCGCCAGACATGTATCAAACCTATCCAACACCTTTCTATTGTGAACATTATATTTTAGGATAAAATCAAGATTTTTTTCAATCATATATAAAACAGTGGAAAAATAAGAAGTTGGATGACCCTGTCTGATGTTCAGTTTGGACACGTATAGCCGTATACATTCCATACCAATAATCAAATTCATAAGAATTCAAAGTTACTGGATGTACCGTCTGCCTTCGCTGGCGGCCATGTTGATTTTCACATATGGGTCAAAATCAAACTTGAGCGTGAACCCTTTCACCCCTATGCAACTTTAGCAGACTCTACCATGCATTGATCTGGTTTAGTCCATTATGGTCTACAGTGGTGAAAGGGTACTCGAATACATAAGAATTCAAAGTTACTGGATGTGTCGTCTGCCTTTGCTGGCGGCCATGTTGATTTTCACATATGGGTCAAAATCAATCTTGAGTGTTAAATGATACTATAAACTCATGTAGAAAGTTTCATGAAAACTCGGTAGTGAAGCGGTCGTAAAACCTATCAATCAATCAATCAATCAATTCATGAAAATCAAGGCATTTTTTCAAGAGTTAAGGCAGGGTAAGCATTATTGCAGACAATTAAGGCAGGGAGACCACTTGTGCAGACAAAGCTGATGTTGAGAAAGTGTCGCCTTTGCTTCACCAATATGAACAAAAATTCCCCGACTCTTGGTAAATAAAAGTAAAATATACAAACCATTGGTATGAGAACTCCAAGAGATCCAGAATAGAAGAATTAATAAGCACTAGACTGTAGTTTGCACTAACACATATAAAAATATCCAACAGGGGAAAATCTCCAGCTCTTTGTCATCCCAGACAGACTTCCTAGACTCCGTAGTTCTCAGGTCATCGTAAATAGTCAGCTAAACAATCTGGAAGTGAGACAGAAAAGATATTACAACCAGAAAACCCCATTTTACAAAATATACATATGAATTTACAGTGAATCAAATGAGAGAAGAAAAATAGAAAATACGGCAAAACCTCAGCATAACGTATCTCATTTCATTTGCCACCTCACTTACTGCCAAAGCATTTCAATGTTCCCTTTTCCTTTCTTTTATCACGAATCACCTTCATAATTCCAAAATTCAACAGGAGAAACAGTGGCATTGTAACAAGGCTTTACTGTACAGATGGGTGATTTTTAGAGCATTTAAATTACGGTGTGAAGCTGAACTTTCTTTACATGTACCACATTTCCCTTTTATTTTGAAATAAACACCTACATCATCAACCTAGCAACATACATCAAAAATAACTGTGCAAGTCGAACCAATTAAATTTTTGTTTCATTTTCATTCTGAAAAATTCATCAAAAAATCTGAACTGCTCAAAAGCATAAGTACAGTGAATATTAGTTTCTAACACACATTTTTAACTGTTCACCGCCACTGGAAGTCGTAGACGATGACAGTGTTTGTAGAAGATTGTATTCCAGGTTGACGCGTACTTCTATCCTTGTTTGTACCCCATACACAAAGGAAAGCAATAATTATGCAATCATATTGAAAGGACAAGCACATGTATGAATTTCTTTTCAGATGTAGAATTCATACATCATTTAAAACAGACATATTGTGCTACCATATCATATTTCCATAACGTGGCAAGCACACTATGTAACTAATCATTATATTATGTTTGTACGTTGCAGGTAGCAGTCATCCTTTAGATTAAAGAATTCTAAAGAAAGGAAGAATCTGTCTAAACTGAATCCAACATAATTAGGAACATGTATAATCTGGAAACCAGTTTAACCCAGGAACCGGTATAATCTGGACACCTGTATAATCTGGAAACCTGTATAATCTGGAAACCTGTTTATTCCAGGCACCTGCATGATCTGGAAACTTTTTTGATTCAGGAACCTGTATAATCTTGAAACTATTTAAATCCAAGAACCTGTATGATCTGGAAACCAGTTTAATCAGGGAACCTGTATAATCTGGCAACAAGTTTAATCTGGAAACCAGTAAATCTGAAAACTGGTTTAATCGTAGAGCCTGTATTATCTGGAAACCTGTTTAATCCAGGAACCTGTACAATCTTGAAACTAATTCAATCAAGAAATCTGTATAATCTGGAAACCTGATTAATATGGAAACCTGTAGTATCCAGTCACTTGTTTGATCAAGAAACCTGTACTATGGGAACATATATGATTGAGGAGCCTGCACAATCTGAAAACCTGTATAACCCATTACAATAGTATCTCACAATCAATTCAGACAAAGAGTAAACAAATAAAACATATCTGACCTTTAACAGTGTTTACTGATAAATTAACTAACGAAAAATCATTTTATTGAAGGGGAGCTCAACTTGAGAGACAGGACCATGTATCATCATAAAGTACACACAAATATATACGGAGATACATATTTACATATACTACAATGATCTATATTGTCATGAAAACAAAATCTGTGGATTATAGCAGAATCAACGACAACCAACCTTGGGAACGCTCATCTGAGTGCTGTAATTTAAATTATAAACAATGTTCTTCCTCTCTCATACATGCACGTTTTCTGTTCAAATGGAATCGTCTACTCTCTATGTGGTAGTGCACACGAGCTCTAATCAAGAGCAGCCATTACAAGCTATCACGCTAATATCATAGCTGGTACAGAGCTTCTAGCAAGCTAAATGACAGGCCGACATGATTGGCTCTTCATTACCCACAGAATTTCTCAAAATTTCTCTGCAAATCATGCATGAGTTTTATTTTGTTAAGAGTCGTGTCTTCTGCTATACACTAAGTGATCAAAACCAATACTCGTCCGCGTTAGATTTCGCGATAGTGATGAGCACATTATGCCTTGCGAGTAAAACACAGATAAAACTGTGATGTTTTGTCGCGAATGAAGCTCGGGAAATCAGAAATATAAGGACAAGGGCTTTGAGATAGTGAACAGATCTAGTCCCTTGGGACACACACATAAAACCGTGTTTTTGTCCGTTGAACAGTCGGGGAAAATCCATCACTCTGCTATTGTCTCTTGTCCTGTGTCCACTCATGACTAAGTCAATATCAACACTGGTCAAATTGTGAAATCAACTCCCCAAAGAGCCTGCCTGATGAAGATTAGCCGATACAGAAACAATCTCCAGGCTGTATTCCGCCATACTTTTTTTTACGTGAAAGTGGGCAGCAGAAAGCATTCCGCCTGTTGCAATCAACGTAACTGATATCAAACGCCTTTCCAGTGCCGTTTATAGCCAATTTCTTCTCGGTCCACTGTGTTGTCCATGGCCTTAAAACGAAAATAAACTGTATCTCAGGGGATGTCAAAAAAAGAAGCGACCGATTGTTTTTGCAATGATCCTCGTCAATCTTTTACAGTTATGTGTAAACTGTATATTGTGTTGACCATCAATCTAGGCACTCGTCATGACCATCAACCTTGGCATAGACAAAATGGACCATGTCTTCTCCGTCCTTGTAGTATTTTCATAAGACAAGTAGCTTCTACATTTAAAAACATAACCTAGAGGTTTAATTTGTTAACCTCAAATCTAGTGATATTGTACCTTCCTGCCCGTACCCATAGCTTTCAAAAGACTTTTAACCCTTTCACCCCTATGCAATTTTAGTAGATTCTCCCATGCATTGATTTGGATATAGTCCATTATGGTCTTCAGTGGTGAAAGGGTTAAACGAGAATGCATGAACATCATTTGATTTTTAAGACTAAGAAAATGATGTTTGTTTACATTGAAGCCAAGGATGTTCACTGCACCACACCAAAATCACAAAAACCACATTTCATCGTCGCCTTGTAAACAAGCTCTACGCACCGAGAACGGCACTTCACTTGCGGGCATCTTACCACAAATACCACATTGATTTTGTATTTGTGCCATTTTATCAACGTTCCGGCTCATACAACCTGGAAGTTCTCATGGATTCAAATCGAATTAAACTTTCTAAATTATTCCGTAAAGTCATTCCGATGCGTTATAATATTTCAAATCCGATGCCTGGAATCCTACGAGGAGAATCCTGATGTGATAGAATGAAAAAAAACGTGGAATTTACTCGCGTAACCTTGAGCACAGACAGTCACTCTCTAAGGCTAATATCCTCTGCACAGAATCAATTCAAAAGCAAATCTTTTGAAACACTTTCAAACCTCAGATGAATGCTCCAAATATGTTATCAGAATTCTGGCGGAATCCAGTCAGAAGATTTGCAAAGATTTGGTTGCTGCGAGACTATATAAATATCATACAAAAATCTTTACAGTTTTCTATCGCTTTCTATCAAATATTGATGTTGAATTGGTTTTACTAAATGACAATGTCTAAAACTGAATGTCTGGTTTTACCTTATTATCCAATAAGCGCGACCTATGAAGTGCACCAGTGGATTGTCTCCCTTTGTCAGAAGTTTATATGACCTTGACCCTTGCAATGTAAGCTTCTCTTTGTTAGGTATACTTGTAGCGATGTTAAAATATAATATATGAGACATGACCTTGACCTTTGCTACGAGATATTGCCTCAAATCTTTTCATTAGTTTTCTTCCTTAATATTAAACAGGTATCAATCGGTTAACAAATACAGGCTATCTGACCTTGACATTCTAATTGGTTCCCCTTGGGGAAAAAAACTATGACCAATAAACCACTATGATAGCCAGCAATTTGCATCCTGAAACACTTTCCTCGCGATGCTATGCAATTTTCCGATTTTTCCTCAATTTCCCGAACTGTCCATTTATCAACCGAATAGAAAGCTTGGGGAAATGATGCGAAATTAAGCCTGGGGTCACCGGAGACCGCACGACATTAAGACCATTTCCTAACTGACCTGGCAACTCTAGGTCCTTCAAGGGTCCTTTAAGGGTCAGGTGTGCCCGTCAACTTTATCTAAAGCCCTGGATCTAAGTGTCATTTATATGCACCAACATGCTCCCCTATATTTCTCCCAGTGTGTCAAACCTACGTATCGCCCCCCAACTTCCCACACTAGCGACTCATTATACAGTCGTAAAAACCTCGATGACATTTTGGGAAAAAAAACATGCCTGATTATTAAATCAATTTAAATAACGCTCCGAATCTAAACAAATTTGTGTCACTTTTATCTACGTTGGCATGTTCTGAAATGTTCGTATTTCTGTTCTCACTGTGTAGTGCACTGATGGGAGTAATTCTTGATCAGCATCAAGATAAAAATTCATTTACGCAATTTATATGTTATCGTTAATATTACAGAATATTTTGAATGCTTTTAATTAAATTTTATGTAACCCTTCCTCAAAACACTAACATCAAATTCAGCTCCACCTTCCCTGGTTCTAAAGATTCCCAATGCCTGATGAAATACAAATTTATTCCCAACTTCGAAAAATGTATTCCTAATTATCCTAACCCTAACCCAAATATCCTAGAAACTCTAAAGCTATATTCCCTTAACTTCAACCGTTATATCCAAATATTAAATCCCCTTAGCCCAGATATATCCTAAATCCTAAACTGAAATATGAGAAACCAATACTTTAACACATTCACCCCTGAAATTTTATTATGAACTGTTCCATCCTTTGAATTGGAAGAGTTCAAATGTGTCTTCAGGGGTGAATGAGTTAAACCCTAATGAAAACTAATGATGCAATTCATTTCACATTGAACATTTAGGTAATCCTATTCACAATTACTAACAAGAGGTCCATTGGACCTATATCGCTCACCTGGTTTCATATTTAAGTCATTACAACTGAATGCATTAGTACATCTTTATATGAAATTTCCTCAAAACCAGACAAGATCTATGTTCTAACCCAACTGGAACCACAATATCTGACTTTCAACTAATCAGAGGCCTCCATTGAGTTGCCATGTTAACAGATTTTGAAATAAG